AGGCTTGCATACGAGTCTTAATAATGATAATAGTTTAAACGCTAAACCCGAAAGGGCCATACAGCCCTGCTGGGAGGGATTGGCGAAAGGAGGAATGTGTGAAGGCTTGGGGAAAGGGTGTGAGAGCAGGGGACGTGCTGCTGAAATTAATTACCCAACGAGCAATGAGGTTTATATGTACTTCTGTTGACTTGCACGACTTTATTATTATTATTATTATTATTATTATTATTATTATATTATTATTATTATTATTATTATTATTATTATTATTATTATTATTATTATTATTATTTTTATTATTATTATCATCCAAAGGAAGTGTTAAATTCGTTTGGGTTATTTAGTGAAGAAATGCTTTCTCTTTGATCTTCCTCACTGTATACTGTCAGCAGCGTCTCTCCTTCCTGGTTGCATTCCTTCTTCGTTGTTTTCATAACTCCTCAGGATTGACATAAAGCAGCCGCCTCCGTGATCTTGGTTGCAGCTTCTTCAAGTCTACTTGCAGTCTCCCTGTCCTCTCCGCGTGTTAGCTTATACTCTTATAAACTACACATATCTTTCATCACTAGTGCAACCTCCCTTCCCTCTCTCTTTCTCCTTATTGTATATCCCTCAGAGAATATCACATTATCGTTAATGTGAGCTTCATTTTCACTCTACCTACTATCCCTGATATTGGTTGTGCTATTCTCACCACCATCTCTTGTTTTTGAATGCCATCAGCATTTGTGTACCAGACATTTACCTTTCAATTTACGTCTGTTTCTGATACATCTTGTACTCGTCCACTATCAGGGAAATTTGTGTTGCTCACTATCTTAATGACCAGAAATTTGTGTTGCTCACTATCTTAATGACCAGAAATTTGTGCTGCTCACTATCTTAATGACCAGAAATTTGTGTTGCTCACTATCTTAATGATCAGAAATTTGTGTTGCTCACTATCTTAATGACCAGAAATTTGTGTTGCTCACTATCTTAATGACCAGAAATTTGTGTTGCTCACTATCTTAATGACCAGAAATTTGTGCTGCTCACTATCTTAATGACCAGAAATTTGTGTTGCTCACTATCTTAATGACCAGAAATTTGTGCTGCTCACTATCTTAATGACCAGAAATTTGTGTTGCTCACTATCTTAATGATCAGAAATTTGTGTTGCTCACTATCTTAATGACCAGAAATTTGTGTTGCTCACTATCTTAATGACCAGAAATTTGTGTTGCTCACTATCTTAATGACCAGAAATTTGTGTTGCTCACTATCTTAATGACCAGAAATTTGTGTTGCTCACTATCTTAATGACCAGAAATTTGTGTTGCTCACTATCTTAATGACCAGACCTCCCAGGTGTGGGAGGTCTGGTCATTAAGATAGTGAGGCTAATACAAAAGAAAAGCCAAAGGAGGTAATTAAAAAAAAAGCAAAATGAAAGCAGTATTGCAAGCCATTTATTGCAGCAGGTTTGAACACAGTCCAGCATTACCTCAATAGTTGCCAGAATTAAGACACCAACTTATCACCAGTGTGTGACTAGTTAATGGTCCTGATCAGACCGAAACGTCGTCATACGTTTCTTTCTCCTATATGCGGGTTATTTGTGTATTGTTAAAGTCATGTATTGTGCGTTTTATTCTTCATCATCTAGTGTGTGTGGTGCGGGATACTGAAATAGCAGTTACAGTTAAAATGACCTTTAGTGTAAGGTGAAGCAGGAGGAGGATGAAGGCTAGGTAACCTTAGGTAAGGTTTATCAGGAAACAGGACAAGTGTTTCCTGACACGACTCTTAGTCACATGATGACCCATAGCTGTTGGTCATCTAACCGAGGCCTTCCACTGGCTTACCCCTCCACCCCTTTTAAAACTATGGTTATGATTATAACCATACGAATCCAGGAGATGTTGCCACATACGCGTCACATGTCCTCACCCGGTACCAGGTATGTCTTGTACATGCTCATGATTGTGGCCACGAGCAGCGACCTTGAACTGGGGAGATCGTTAAAAATACAACCCAGCCTCCCCATAGCTAAGTCGCACTTTCACGTAGGATTGGCAGGCCATTTCCAAGTTAGGTTAGGTTGGGTTGGGCTAGTCTAAGTTAGGTTACAATGGAAAATCTATAAATATAAGGTAAATGACGGTAAAATAGTCTGCCGCACGAGCAGAAAACTGGCAGCCACTGTGTGCTGCTCATGTAGCTATGTCATATTTCATCTGTTCAAGGCTGCTTCACCATCCATCCATTTGACTGTTTTTACAAGAATTCCATGATGTCCCTAATTAAGAGTGTCGGCTGGTATTTTCACCAGATAAAGAGGACAAAGAAGAATGTTCAGAAGAAAACGGGGTTTCAAAACTGCTTAAAAATTGAGAATCTGGCGCATCAACAGGAAGATGCCCTAAAACGAATGATTACTGCCATAGAACGGAAGAAGCAAACTAGGGACATAAAGCCGCTCGAAAAATGATAAAATTAAACCACGAAACGGACGGGGATTGAACCATGGCGAGTACTAAAACTTCATGCCATGGGTTCAAGCCCCACCCATCCTCTGGTTTGCAAACGTGTTATTATGATTTCGTGAGTCATAACAAAAATAAATTTATATACGTATGCATGAATATAAAAAACTAAAATCGGCCTACTAATAACAGGATGTTCATACACCGACGACGAAAAAGAAATGAACAAAATCTGGTCAGACCAGTCTACTTACCTGGTATGAATCAGTGTTCAATAATTCACTAAACAGCAGGAGAGTGGAGGATCAAGACTGTTTTTTTTTTCACCACTCTGCCAACCCGACACACAGATGAATAACAAAATCTGGTAGACATCTACCTAACCGGAATGAATCATGTTACTATACAATAACACACAGGACGAGTGGAGGATCAAGACTTTTGTCTTTTTGGCCATTACTGACCAAGTTTTTTTTTTACCAGTTAGTCGGATCCTTATAAAACCTCTAGAATAATGTAGGAATCGCAACTTAAGATAAGCCCAACCCATAGTGAACTTAAAGACTTTTCAGTCTGACTTGGACCATTAACTAATGATCCAAATTTTATTTTATAATACAGTCGTGGCATCCTTATAAAAGCCAAACAACACTATTGAGGTTAGTGAGATGCAAAGCTAAATCTAAGATTAAAACGTGCAACCAAGTTAACGAGAGTTAGGAAACAGTAGATTCCAACAAAAAATTACTGAAAACTTGACAGTATATATATATATATAAATAAATACTTTAGTATGAATATATTAATATAATTCTATATAAAATCACGAGAACAAGTGGTTTAACAATAACTGTACTGGCCGATGAATCGAACCCCCATACTTAAATTCGGAGCCTGAAAGTAGCACGTTAAAATTCAGTACCTATAACATGAACTATATATATATATTCAGTGCCCTATTACATATAATGTATATATAATGTATATGAAATTTACAAATATATTTATATTAATTTCTATATTATTGAATATATACACATATTATATATATATATATATATATATATATATATATAATATATATAATATATATATATATATATATATTATATATATATATATATATATATATATATTATTAATGCATCCCGAAGAAGTGGTGTTTAGCAAATAAACTGCACCATGGAGGTGAACTCTTCTCCAGGCTGAGGGACTGACCACTTCAAATACTATTTGCACAAGGTTGTTGGACTGAGTACATCATTTTCATTTCACTACTACACCTGCTGCCTCTGTATTTGACTGAGGAAGCCTACTGTGTAGCCGAAACGTTTCATCAACAAAGTTATCCAGTTGTTGCACGTGTCTTAATCTTCAGCTTGTGGTATTTTATACTATTTTTACCTTGATTCTTGTATTCACAAGAAAAATAAAATCCTCCTTGATATCATGGTCAAGTCTCATGATTTGTGTTATAATGGGAAATTAAATATTTTCACAAATCCAGTGTTATTGCATTCACAAAAACACAGTCTATATGGTACATTCAGTACTATAAATGAGCACCATAATAACACACTTGACCCTGTTTACACTTCAAAATTTAAACAGCGTATTATTATTATTATTATTATTATTATTATTATTATTATTATTATTATTATTATTATTATTATTATTATTATTATTATTATTATTATTATTATTATTATTTTAACACAACGGCCGTCTCCCACCAAGGTAGGGTAACCCGAAAAATAAGAAACAAAATATTTCTTTTTACATTTAGTAATGCTCCCGGCATTTTAGTCGCCTCTTACGACACGCATGGCTTACGGAGGAAGAATTCTGTTCCACTTGCCTATGGAGAAGTATTATGATTATATTATACGAAAACAGCGCTACAGCGCTGGGGAGGGTAGGTAAACAGGTTTGACCTAAGAACCACGGAACGGGTGGGGGTTGAACCTGTGGCAGGTGAGTCCTGAACCTCACAGGCCAGTGCTTTAATCTCGCGGTCATGTGCGTTTTAAGACTCACTTGCCTTGGGTTCAAACCCTACCAGGTCCGTGATATGTTTGCAATCGTGTTATTACGATTTCGTGAGTCTTGATCTAAGAATGTATAAAAGGTACTTTTAGTTTACATCTTGCGAAATTCGTGTTTGCATTCGAAACGTGATTTTAATAAAGGCTTGACTCACGAAATTGTAATGACACGATTGCAAACAAACCATACCACGGGTGGGGATAGAACCCGCGATCAGAGAGTCTCAAAACTCCAGTTCGTCGCGTTAGCCACTGGCTAGTCCAGTGGCTAACGCGACGGTCTGGAGTTTGAGACTCTCTGATCGCGGGTTCTATCCCCGCCCGTGGTATGGTTTTAATAAAGGCTTGTTTTGTTTGTTATTGATTTATTACGCGTCAACTTATATTTTATACATCATATCAGTTGTTTGTTTGGCTTCTTCATACTCATCTCTTTTTTTTCATTCCTTCACAAGTTGAATTTAAAATTCTTCTTTAACAGGACTTTGAGATCGTTCCTGTCACTAATTTCTCCTGCGCTGGGAAAGTGATCGGTGGTTACTATGCAGATGTCTACACCAGCTGTCAGATGTTTCATGTGTGCACGCTCAACGAGAAAGGCGAGTGCTGACAGAGATAATTTGAAATTATGTACAAAGAATGGTCAGGGCTGTTTAACACAAATACACACACACACCACACACACACACACACACACACACACACACACACACACACACACACACACACACACACACACACACACACAATGTTCCAGAGATGGGACACAGCAACAAGGGGACACAGTTGGAAGTTGAAGACACAGATGAATCACAGGGATGTTAGGAAGTATTTTTTCAGTCACAGAGTAGTCAGGAAGTGGAATAGTTTGGGAAGCGATGAAGTGGAGGCAGGATCCATACATAGCTTTAAGCAGAGGTATGATAAAGCTCATGGTTCAGGGAGAGTGACCCAGTAGCGACCAGTGAAGAGGCGGGGCCAGGAGCTATGAATCGACCCCTCCAACCACAACTAGGTGAGTATACACACACACACAATACAGAAAAACGTTAGACCTGGAAATATTAGTGTGTTATATAAAAGGTGTCTACGTATTTGCAGTATATCTAATGTTGCTAAAGAATTAACTTCATTTCTTACCCTGACTGACTAACTTTCTATAGGCAGTATTCACGACTACACATTCCGATGCTTAGTGGGAACGGTGTTCGATCAGGAGACTCGTGTGTGTGAACGTTCAGATGAGGTAGACTGTAGCAAGTCAGAGTCCTTCTTCTATCTCAACAATGATCTCTACGGTCCCGGCATCATCCCATCCACGGCGTGAGTACCATCACACACCGTTCATGTCTGGTGTGAGACTAATTTTTTATATATTGTACGAGGCCTGGTCATGGACCGGGCCTCCGGGGCGTTGACTCCTGGAGCACCCTCCACGTATACTACATAAATACACATATCTTGCTGTATGAATATACTAGATTATATATATATATGTATCGTGCCGAATAGATAAAATTAGTCAATTAGCATGAACTCATTTAAAATTAAGTCCTTTCTAACACGGCTTCAGGAAGAAATCCAAATATTCTTCCTTGAAGCCTTTTTATCCACTTCTCCGAGACTATGGGTCCCACAATTTACACCAGAGGTGGACCCCATCCGTTTAAAGATATTTTTTTTTCATTTATGTTCATGTAAAAATTAATAATTTTTTACCAAAAGAACCTTAGAAAACTTACCTAACCTTATTATAACAAGCGCAATTTAATTTAGCTTAATCCAACCAAATATATTTTAGATAAGTTTACAAACACAGTGGTTCAGAATGATTTTTGCGAAATAATTGGTCCCGAATCTGCACACAAAAATCACTCCCTACGAAAGTAAAAGACTGGGCAGGCGGTGCAAAGTGCCCCCAATGAAAAGTAGGGGGCCATTGGTACACTAAGAGAAAACACCGTAAGTGTCCAGGGCCCAAGACTGTTCAACTGCCTCCTAACATGCATAAGGGGAATTACCAATAGGTCCCTGGCTGCCTTCAAGAGGGAGCTGGACAGATACTTAAAGTCGGTGCTCGATCAGCAGGGCTGTGGTTCGTGCGGCCAGCAGTAACAGCCTGATTGATCAGGCCCTGATCCACTGCCCTCCAGGTAGACACAAATTTTCGCTTGTCTTATTCGACAAGAAGATCGTTGCTATTTAAGCCAAAATCGTAAGTTTTACCTATTCGGCATGATATGTTTGAAGTGGATCATGTCATCAGATGGGTTTGTGAAAGGAGAGATTAATTATATAACAAAAGAAAGAAGGTACATAACGTTTCGAGAAATCTGTGGGAAGAAAAATTTAGTAATGCAAAGAGAGGAATGTACCAGAATATAATGGTACTGAAATATTAATGTGTGTGAGGCTTTGTCTCTGAATATTACAGGAGGAGGACGAGGCTGGAGGCTGTGATGATGATATGTTTGAGAATAATCTGTGGTGTGAATTTTATTTAGAGAATAAGAAATTAAGTAATTAGAAAAATAGTGGTATAAAAGGTAAACTTTCAGGAGCAGAATAAAAGTTGAGATGGTTGGGTCATTGAGAAAGAATGGAACAAAGGTCAACTAGGCTGTGATGGGTATGAATTAGACACTTGTGTAACACTTGGGTATCTTTATTGTAGAAATGTTTCTCCATCCAGTGGCTTCCTCGGTCCAGTGTTGAGTGGAATAATTGCAGATCAGGAGTTTGAGGTAACAAGTCCATCACTCTTGAAGAGATTGATGGATTGATCACATCGACTCCAGGCTGATGCGCTCATTACCTCAAACTCATTCTGATCTTCAACCATTCTATTTTACGTATATTGGACTGAGGAAGCCACTGGACGGCGAAGAGTTTCCTCAGTAAAGATACCCAAGTGTTGCACAAGTGTCTAATACATCAACCTGTCGGTTCTCTGAACTATTTAATCTACATGTGATGGGTATGTGTGTCAGTGGGCCACCAACAGCAACAGCCTGCTTGACCAGACAGCACCAGACGAGCCAGGCCCAAGGCTGGGCTCTGGGAGTAGGATTAACTCTCGAAGCTCATCAAAAGTATATAAAAGGTAATGGAGAGTATGTATAAATTTTGTGTGGATGAAGGAAGGTGAAAGGAATGTTCGAAGAAGAGTTGGCAGGAGGCTTTCTGAGGTAGGGGCTTGAGCATCCAGCAAGCACATGTTAGTATGTTAGATCAGAGTGAACGAAGACTTAAGTTTTTTTTTATTTAATATGCTGTTGGAATATGAATGAAGGGATTGAGGGAACCCAGTTAGCCAGACTTCTGGAGATGGAAAGTATACTGCCTGAATTCTGTCATAACTTTTTCATCGTATGTAGCACTAAAACAAATTGTACTTTAAGCAGAGTTGTACGTATATGCTAAGATGAATGATATAGAATGTATATTGGCATCTTGATTACATTTAAATTATGTTAATATAATAAATATATATAGAGAGAGAGAGCTTGATTTAGTACTGCTGTCTAGGTTCTTCTGTTATTATATTAAAATATAGGAGTTTAATAAGCTTCTTCTAGATTCTGTCACTTGTACATACTGTATCTATATAAGATGATAATGAAGGGGTTACAGCAAATTAATTTTCAGTAGCCTGAAGCCTCAATATCTGATCATTGTTAATTACGATAGTTCTCATACCTGAAAGTTTCGCTAATAACGAAAAAGACACTCATTATGGGTTAATTTTCGACTTGCCACCAACAAATGCCTCTGACCTTATTACCTGAAGAAGTTTCGGTAAAACATTATTTTACAGATTGTCAAATGTATTCATTATTGTCAGTGTCAATGATTATGAAATGAAGCATTCAGGCACTGACAAAAATTCTTAAGTTACCCCGAGTTGTCCCTTGAGGAACTTTCACACCTTCACTGTACTATTCTCCTGCTTGTAATTGACAGTGTTTACTGCGCTCTTACATTGATCTCTTTCAGTATAGTAGAATTACCTTACTTTACAGTTATTTGAACAAGACTACTGTGCAAGTGTTTATCTCTTGTTTCTTTTTGTGATTTTTGCAAGTGGTGGACGACTTATGTTAGGAAAATGACAGGCATTCCCAAAGTATTATTATTATTATTATTATTATTATTATTATTATTATTATTATTATTATTATTATTCACGGAGAAGTACTAAACACAGAGGGATCCCACAGCACCTGGGGAACGAGAAGTATTTAAGTTTGATTCAAAAGAAGAGTAGCTCCAGTTCCATGGATCAAGAGACATTTACTAGCATCATACCTTGTGAATATATTACTTGTTATCCAAGTTCAAAGTGTAAATAAGAAGTACTGATATAAGAAAATAAATCTAAAATTCACTCTCATAATAAGTTTCAAGCTTCAGTTAATTAAAAGTCCTTTGTGTACTCTGCTATACAGAATAAACTGAATTATTATTTTTAGTATGTGCACAAAAATTATTAAACCCACATGGGATTATAAATTTTAATAAACTTCTGGAAACTTGTTAAACTACGACAACTTGATTCACATCATGTAACTTTCTTTTTTAACAAAATAGAAACATTGATAATGTTTAAATATATTTTGTGGCAAACCTTTGAACCGTAATACTGTACTGTATAGTGTTTCTGTATACTTGTATTAGGAAAAATACGTAGTTATTGTATAGTAATCCACCACTAGCTATCATATATCTCTCATTTAACATTTTAAGTATTTTATGCTAATGCTTGTATTTAGCGTTTCCTAGTAACTTCGTTCTGGGGTCACTCTGGGTTCTCAATTTTTTCCATGTCTGCCCCTAGCCTCGTTTCCTCCTTCCCCCAGAGACTCGGAGGGCAACCCCAGCGCCGCTAAAGTGCAGGTTCTGGACCCCACTGTCGCCCTAATGGGGGCTCCTGACCCTCCCACAGTCCCTCCTGATACTTCGGAAGCTACACCCCCACCTGTTCCACATTCCCAACCCCCGTCCCTGCCAGCACCCACTAGTTCCCCACTACCTCCTGTGAGCCCTCCCGGAGTTACTGCCTCTACTACTCGGATGTCCACCTCTACCTCTTCCTCAGTTACAGCTGCCTACTCCTTTCCACCCCTGCCTTTTACTGTCAGCAGAACGTCTACTTCTGTGTCTGCTTCTTCACGCGTCCGCATCCAGACGCCCCTTGCACAGATCTCCCTCCAGCAAGGTGTGGACCACTCTGTCCTACCTGCGCCCCATCTGCGGCCCTCCCTGCTCCGCCTCGCAGCTGAAGCTCAAAACGCAGCACTAGCTGCAAAGATATTAGAGGGTCACAGTTCAACCTCGCCCCCCCCGGTCACCGTTCAGACGCCCGCTAACTTCGAGGATGTTCCCAGACTCTCTGTATTCCATCTTGATACTTCTGGTGCTGGGGCCACTAATAATAATGGTGGATCTTCTCCTCATAGACAGAAAAGACAATTGACATTTCGAGCTCGAAACTTTTCACCTTCTTTAACACAGGAAGATTTTACTTTGCTTGCAGCCGCTGCTCCTACTTCTTTCGGACTTGATAACCAAGACCACACAGTAACTTCTATGGACAATTTTCAAAGAACCATTACCTCGAGGGGTCGAAACAGGTTTAGGCAATCAGACCCTCATGATCAGCAGCCTCAGATAATTAGGCAACGAGTTAGAGATAGTTCCTTACGACCACAGCATGGTCAGGCTGCAGTCAGGCAGAAAAGCAACTCTTTACAAGATTTACAAAATGACAGTCTAATACCTGTCAGACAAATCAGGCCTCAAACAAATGTACGAAGAATTAGACCAACAACAGATTTTCAGATTGAGCAATTTAGTGATAGAACAAATATACGAACAATTAGACCAACAACAGATTTTCAGATTGATCAAGTTAGTGATAGAACAGATGTACGAAGAATTAGACCAACAACAGATTTTCAGATTGAGCAATTTAGTGATAGAACAAATGCACGAAGAATTAGACCGACAGATTTTCAGATTGAACAAGTTAGTGATAGAGCAAATGTACGAAGAATTAGACCAACAACAGATTTTCAGATTGATCAAGTTAGTGATAGAACAGATGTACGAAGAATTAGACCAACAACAGATTTTCAGATTGATCAAGTTAGTGATAGAACAAATGTACGAAGAATTAGACCAACAACAGATTTTCAGATTGATCAAGTTAGTGATAGAACAGATGTACGAAGAATTAGACCAACAGATTTTCAGATTGAACAAGTTAGTGATAGACAATTTAAACCTCAGGTGATAGGTAGGCAAAGTGACCCATCTGTAACATCTAGACAGAGAGGTAGGGTTCGCGTTTCAAGGCCAACTAGCCATGCTAAAGTGACAAGACGCAGGCCAGTGCCTCAGACTTCTGCACCAGTTTCTTCTTTACGTAGTCATGTGCATCATGCCAGCTTCTTAAGTGACAGTGTTTCAGAGACTCCCTTGCAGCTAGCTGACCCTACTCCAGTACCACGCACAGTCATGACAGCCAAATTCCCCCCTGACAGCCACATCAGGGTCATTGACGGGGATGAGGCAACACCTAGGACAGACATCACCAGTACTGCCGACTTCATTACTACATCATCACCAACACCGTTTGTGTTTCCTGAAACGAGTTTCTCCTGCAAAGACAAGATCATAGGTGGATTGTATGCTGATGTAGAAACAGGATGTGTTGTTTTCCATATCTGCTCAGTGGAACCAGATGCAAGGTTAGTATATGATGTGAAATTCATCTTTGTACTAAGAGATACATGGCCATACTCTATACTATAAACTTTTTTATAAGTTTGACAATTTTATATTAAAAATATATAGATATAAAAGGTTGTCGAAAATTAAAGAAAAAATGAACATTACAAGTTATAAGTTACAGGTTAATTATTTTCTTTGTGAAAATAGTCTCTAAGTTTTTCTTTTATGTTTTAGCACCAAGGACAACAAGTTTGTGTGTGGCGTTGGGACTTTGTTTGACCAGAAGAGCCGCACATGCCAAACTGCTGCTCTTGTTGACTGTGCCAAGGCCCCCTCTTTCTACTATCTCAATGAGCCAGTCAGACATATAGGTATGAACCCAAAGCAATACTTGAAACATTTCTACATAAATACAGAATGTTTCATTACCAATATTCCACACTTACAGTTTAAGTTGTCTACTTGATACCAAGTGGAATAAGTGTAGGTAGAGTAGCACAGTGCTGCTCTGCACTGAGTTAGACACTAAACATTTAATGTTTAATTTTAATTTTCTCATTTCATGAGAAGTTTTAGGATACATGGTCACCAAGCAGTTCCTTTTACAGTTCTATGATACCAAACTTCATGGGAGGTTCCTTGGTGCTAGTGAGGGGGCCCTTGATCCGAAGAATTGAACACATGCTCCTCTTCCTTGAAACAAAACTGAATACCTCCTTATGGCTTTAGCACTCCACCTTGAATTTAATAATAATAATAATAACCATCACACACAATTTCACTTGGTACAAACATGTGAAATTACTAAATCACAACATGAAACTGAAACCGAACTGCAACATCCTCACCCCTCCTTCAGAGTGCAGACACTGTACTTCCCACCTCCAAGACTCAAGTCTGGCTAAACAGTTTCCCTGAATCCCTTCATAAATGTTTGTCTGTTCACACTTAAACAGCTCTTGAAGCCATAAAAACCATTTGTCTCCACCCCCTCCAATCTAACACTCTACCATGGGGTCACTGAAGCTTGCTAAATGTTCAAGGCCCTAGTACTTGAAACCTCTTTTACCCCCCTTCTCTCTCTCCAACACTTCCTAGATTGACCCCTACCACTTCTTCCTTCCCCCAATTTATATACCCTAACCAATGCTCCCTACCATTCCTTTCTATCCCTAATTTATACACCAGGTCATCCCATTCTGGTCCAACCTTTCTAAATGACCAAATCACCTCATCAATCTCTACCCAGCTCATCATCTTATAATTAATGCACTCCAAATTTTCTGCATAATACATATCCACCCCACACGTTTCTTGTAGATAGTGACATCACTCATTGCCTTCAGTCTCCTCCTCCTCCTCGCCGTACTATTTAAAATCCGTCTTTTAATAGTACCAATATACTCAGGTACATTTACCTGTTTTTTGCCTCCATAGATAAACTTCTTTCTTTCTATAGATGCCTCAACACCACCTACATTTTCCCCGTCATCTATTCTGTGGTTCACCTTGTCTTTCATAGACCCATCATCTGACATTCACTTTCTCCAGTCACTGTCCTTCCAACCTGATATCCAAGCTTTCATTGCCTATATTTTTTGCTTATGCCTCCTAATATAAATGAAAAATAGCAAACCTTCTGCATTGTTTCTTTTGTCTTATTTTTAAATATTACTTTCACGCAATTGTCTCTGCATATAATCTATCGCAAAACTTTTTAGTGTAAAATCTCTCATATTTAAAAATATTTTTATTTTATAATGCATACTAAATCAAAACAACTGTAGGCAAAGAAATGAAGATGTAAGTATAATTTTAGAGCATGGTGTCATTTTTAAGGCACAGTACCACTAATTTCAATGCCTACTGTATCTTGATGTTTCTGTCACTTAAATAAATAACAAAAAGGCACAATACCGTGACTGGAACAATACACAAATAACCCGCACATAAAAGAGAGAAGCTTACGACGACGTTTCGGTCCGACTTGGACCATTGACAAAGTCACTGTCAATGGTCCAAGTCGGACCGAAACGTCGTCGTAAGCTTCTCCCTTTTATGTGCGGGTTATTTGTGTAGTGTTCTGTCACTTGTCTCAAGAGCTTAGCTTTGTAGACCTAGTTTCCCATTACTTTTCTCAGCTGTTATACCTATTTCTTGCAGTTAATGTAGAACTTGCAGCTCAATTCCCTGAACACGAGTTTGAGTTCCCTCGTATCCCCTCCTCTCCCCTCACCTTCTCCCGACGACGAGGTCGTCGCAGTGCAGGTAAAAGCCTCTCTAAGTTTCAGAGAGAAAACTGGAAACCAAAGTAGGAATGAATTTAAATATGTATTACCATTAATTAATTTTCTAATAATATCTCTTAAGTCATATATACTGCAAACAGATTAAAGCTTTATCATAATCTGTATATGTTATACATATGATATATTAAGCCTCTGAGTGCAGTTATACCGCCTTGATAGTGTTCATCCACATTGGCACTGCTGTCTATGGTTCGTAAGTGTTCGTGTCAGCATCCATATACATCACTCTTGGTTATGATGGTTGTAGCTTAGGCAGAAGTAAACTTGAGAGTTAGTAACTTATTACTTCAACTTTTGGCATTTAGAAACAGGTGTAAATAAAGACAAATTTGGGTTAAAATATAATGTCTCCAATTACTGCATACTGTATATCTTGAGAGATTTTATTAAGTATTGTTTTCTAAAGGAAATAGGACTCAATGAAAAAAAAATTTCCTTCAACAGATCTGTGACTGGTACAATGTTTTTTTTTTATCTCACTTTTGAGATGGTATATTTTGTATGAACATTCGGCAGGTATAATACCAGAAATAAAATTATTAATAATAATTCTTGCTTCCCCAAAAAATATATTAAATATGGTATGAACTTGTGAAAAATTTGAATTTGATAAACACTTTCTGCAAATTCCAACTTCTGCACATGACTTGCATGTGGGCTTTAACAATATTAGTTGAAAAATATTAGGAAGTTAGTGTTTATGACTCTCCAGTGTTTTAAGGGAGGGGCGAGCCTAATCACCAACTTTTTTTTTTTTTTGATGAGATTTCAATGGGATTTTGACAGTGGATTAATCAGCTTAAAAAACATATAGGCTGTGTTTGTTTTGACTGTTAGCCTTCAAGTTAGAAAAAAAAATATTTTGCACAATTTTATGGGCCCTGGGGCTTTCCCAATTTTACTAAATTGGGAAGATGTACAATGCTCTAATTGACATCAGATGAAAGATAAAGGCTGGGTTAATAATGACCCAGAGCATTTTAGCGATAATGTCAGTAGATTCCATAAAAAAAATGTTGAAATTAGTTTTTTTTTTTTTTTTTTGTTTCTTAGAGGAGGAAAAAATCATTAACAAAAAGCTGTTCACAATATGGCAAATCTTCTCTGGGTGTTCGTAGAACCATCATTCCTCAATAACGTCTGCAAAAATCATGACAATCCAATGAATATTTAACGAAAAAAATGGATTAGAATGTCAATAAGTTATTACTGAGATTTTTTTATTTTAGTGTGTGTGAAACTCTAGGGAAGTCGTGCGCCACCGTTAAGTGTGTTACACTCCTCCTATCTTCTCTACAGCCTGCAGGCTACTGATGGGCTTACTGTATGCACTCCTCACACTAGCCAGCACACAAGTTGCCATGTAGAGTGTTTACAATGAAATAATCATAAAAATCGTAATTTTGGGAGGGGAAAAAAATACATTTAATGAAAAACATGCTTAGAAATATGATAGAAACAAGCTGATTACATCAAAATGTTGCCAGAATTTTGCACTATTTTTCAGTAAGAAAACATTTTTTTCCATAATTTTTCAATTTTAATATCTTGATCACTGAAAAAAGGTTCGCCCCTACCTGAAGAGAAGTAAAAATAAAGTAATAGTTATAATATGATAAAATATTAGTAAGACATGTGCAGCATCAGTTATATTTGAGAATTGGCATGCCAGCAGACTTTGTCAGTCTAATGCCAAGACATGGAAAAGGAGCTTATGTAATTGTAGCTGAGTTTAGTTCAATGTCTTTATTATGCACCCCATACCCATCTTGTGTATAAAGACTTAAGTGGCTACAGTTATATAAACTTTCATGTCTCGGTATTAGATTAATAAAGTTGGCTGTGTGGGCGAAACAGGTTTCAAATAAAAATACCCAGATGTTGCATGTGTGTCATTTATCAATTTATTAGTACAGTAGTACCTCAAGTTATGAACTTACTTCGTTCCAAAAGGCTGTTCGAGTGCTGATACTGAACGAATTTGTTCCCATAAGGAATTATGTAAATTAGATTAGTCCTTTTCAGACCTCCAAAAATACACTTACAAAAGCACTTACAAAAATATACTTACATAATTGTTTAAGTTGGGAGCTGTTCGAAATTCGAGGTACTGTACCACTGTAGTATTATATATTTTATTAAATTAAAACAAAGTGTTTCATATACTATTAGGCAAAAGCAGGCTAATAGAATACTGTGTAAGAATTTACATAGGAAGCTGCCATTAACCCTTTCACTGTCTCTCATGTAGATCCTACATTATTGACGCCAGTGTCATTTGCATAGATCTGTTCTAAGCACAGCGCCCTCAAATGTGCTGTGATTATGCCTAGACATAAGAGAATGGGTCTGTACAGTGAGTGTGTACCTTATTTAAAAAAAACATGCCCCATGCAGTGCATTATGGTAAAAGCAAACCTCTGAACTCGTGTTTGCTTTGAAATACTGATTATGAAGTATTTTCTAGGGTGATTTCTTGGGTTTTATTGGTTGTTTCTTGAGGCATGGAATGGAAGGCATACTACTGAACTAGAGATGCTTTGGGTCAGTTTCAGGACCAGAAGTATTTTGAAATATGGCTCAAAGTAGCAGAAATATTCAGTTTTTGGCAATCTTCCAGAAGAAGGGTAGAGTTCCCCAAGTCCCCCCTCCCCCTCCATTCTGTTTTATGAAGTTCCACTTGATTCATCTTTCTATGTTATACTGTACTGTATTTTATTGCTTGGGATGAATTTTGTGTGATGATGAATTCAAAATGGAGAGCAAGTGATTAATGAACAGAAGATAGGTTTCTTTAGAATGCTACAGTGCTTATTTTGGTCTGTTTTAAGATTGAAATTTGTTGAATTCTGTGTAAAACTGGCCACATTACCGACCTCTGGGCAACTTATAGTTTAGCTCTGATGATTGAATGGGCACCTTCTTGCACTCAGTCAATAGACCAGAAAGGATACTAGCAAAATAGCAAGAAATTTCTTGAACTGAGAAACAGAATTAGCTAAAATTAGAACTCAAAGTGAGTGAAATCACCAATGCATAAATTGCGCTCTGACCTCCAACTTCGCACCTGCGTAGTTGTTTATGTTTGCCATCAGACTTCACATTTTTAATATCATTATCTTCAGAAGAATCTGTACCTTTCTCAGAAGAATTATTTTTAAATTGCATGCCCACAGACTCTCTTCAGAACCTGGTATCTTTTTGGGAAACCTCTCATATTCCCACTATGTTATACATAATTCATGTGTGTAATTCCAGTGTAGCCCTGCTGTATTGTTCTGGCTTAATTCCTAATTTTTTCTTTGCATAAGGTTACTGGGAAATCTCATATGTGTGAATTTTCTATAGCCTGGGTCTACCCAACCTTATTGCAGTTCGTTTCTTAGTAATACTGCTCTATTTCAGCACACCTTCCTCATTTGTAGTCCTACCATATTGTCTGTGATACTGTATAAAGTGCCAGATCAACCAGGCTGTGATAAATATATGGGTCAGTGGACCAGCAGCAACAGCCTGGTTTACTAGGCAAGCACTAGATGAGTCTGGTCCAAGGATTTGCTTCGGGAATAGAAAAACTCTCAGAGCTCATTAAAGATATATCAAAATTGGTAAAAAGGAAAGAAAAATAGAAGCTGGCAGGATGGTCTCAGAATGAATCCTTGTGGAATCACATAGAGTAAAATAAAAACTTCTTTGGATTCAACTACAAAAATTCCTTTAGATTCTACTACATTTATGATATTCATTGATGCTGTAATTTCAGTGTGTGCCATTTAGCATGCCATCATTCTTTTCTGAATTTGTAATAACTGCAAACTCATTTTACAGATGGCAATATTGATCTGTGTCGCAGTCGTCCTCTAGGCACACCACTGGCAGATCTTACTACTGGCTGCCAAGACTTCACAGTCTGTGAGGCTCTGAGTGATAATAGATTAGTGGAAAAGCGCCTCTCATGCAAGAAAGGATACCTCTTCTCACAGCTCCGGCAACGTTGTGCACTTGCTAAAAAAGTTAGTGATTCACATCCATCTTTGTAAGAATTTCTTATGCAGTATAATACAACCTCTCCTCACTTTGCAACGTATATACTTGTTTACCGACGACTTGGACTTACAACGGGCTCTCTGACCAGTATGCCTACCTAAATAATGTAGTATATTAGAGCTGATTTCCTCTATTCTGTTTATTACAATGTGCAGTCGACTACTGTATAAATATTTAAAAATATGCCAGAAATGTTATAAATGGTGCAAAAGTGACATTAAAGCAATATCAAAGATAGTTAACACAAGCCCACTAGCTTTATAGTACGTATGCTCCTCACTTAGCGAGGAATTTGTTTACCAACGTGGTCTTAGCAATGCAACTTCATCGTTAAGTGAAGAGAGGCTGTAACTTAAATTATACCTTGCCACTTTAATTATACAAATTATTTTTTTAACACTAGTAATTGTATCATTCCTTACAGGTGAACTGTGCCAAGGAGACTTTAGGTGAAATTCTTGGAATGAGAAGCAGTCAAAACATTACAGCAGAAAAAGACGTGCCGCCGCTCTCTTTCAGTCTCGCAGATTTCGCCGAGCAGCCCTGCCTCCCTTGGCCAATTTGGTTATCACACCGGGGGTAGAAGATGCACGTGCACGCCGGGCTCTCTTTAACCTTGCTGCACTTCAACAGTGGACCCTAGAAAATGCCCAACATTCAACTTTCATTGAAGTGTATGCCTTACAAACTGATGGAAAAGATCATTATCCAAAGAAAGTTTATGTCGATACTATGGTTCCTCTTTCTAGTTCCGAGGCAGTACAGCGGTATGGCTATGTATATCGCAAAAAGAGAGATGTATCTAATATCACTGTAGCAGAACAAGTACTTACTAGTAATACAACCAAGGTACAAGAAATGATTACTCAAACTCCTGTAGTAACATCTGGAAATTCAGATGAAGCTGAAGACAAAGTTCAGCCAGTTGATATCTTTGTAAATAAATCATCTCAAGGCTTCTTCAGTGTTCCTACTATTACTACTACAACTATTGGTTCAACGCCAACAGCTCTACCAACAGTAACTGTTAGTAGAAGAAAAGACACATCAGATTCATTTGTTAGTCCAACTCAACCAGCAATACCCACAACATTATCAACTGTCACAATATCCCCAGAACATACTATTTTTAAAACAACATCCACAGCCACAGTTACTATAATTCCTATAACTGTGACTGTTACAACTACAAAAACCATTGTACCTGAATCACTGATCAATATGCACACAGAACTTTCCCCAACAGGAACAGCACTTGAAACAGCAATAACACAGATGCCAGTATCTGTGACCACACCTCTTCCACCACCATCTACAACAGCAGCAATAGTTGATTCTGTTTCCAAAGTTATTTCCACATCACCACCAGAAGTGAAGCCAACAGCTTTTCCAAATAACTCACAAAATAACACATTTGAAATGCAACCAGCAGCAGCTGGACCTGTCTCTAATTCTGATTCTTTGCCTCTCCAAAATCCAACTGAAAATCAAACTTTACCATCCATTACAAATGGTACTGTGGTACAAAATTTCACTGAAAGTACAATAGCTCCATCAACAAGTCCTGAAGTGAGTGTATCTTCATCTACTTCAAGTACACCTGTGGCTGTTAATGAAACTGAAAGTACTAATGTTACAGAATCCAGTGGAAGTGTAGCATTTTCTTCCACTACTGAAGGTGTTCAGCCTAATGAAGTAGTGACAACCACTGCTGCAACCACCGTAGCTACAGCTTTGGACACAAGTACAAAAATAAGTCAGACAGTAAATGTCACAGTTTCTGCTAATGAAACAGTTGCCACTACTACTGAAAGTATTATAGACTCTGTTAATGCCACATCAACTGTGAAGCCCTCAAAAGATGTGGATGTGTCAGTGAACTCTTCAACAACATCAGTAACTCCTTCTTCTGTCACTCCACAGGGGCCTTTCACTAGAGAAAACTTACCTGAAACTAATTTCACCTGCAAAGATAAAAAGTTGGAGCAGTTTTACCCTGATCCTGAAGCCAATTGTCAGGTGTTTCACTATTGTTCCCCAGGGTTTGTCAAAAAACAAGTTCTTGACCTGAAATTCCTATGCACTGGTGCAACTATGTTTGATGTTAATACCCAAAAATGTGAAGATATGGCAAGTGTCACTTGTGGTGATGACAAACCAACTACACTTGGTATCAAAACTACTAAACCTACAGAAAATACCACCGAAGCTCCAACATTGTCTCCTGCTGCAGCACATAATGAGTCTGTCATACTGGAAGTGCCAGTAAATATCACAACTGAAACAAGTGTGGTAAATGTTTCTCACATAACTTCTTTTGAATCAGTAACACCTGAAAACATTACTACATCAAACATAATTTCTGAAGTATCAACAACTGAAAGTACTCTAGTAGCACCTGAAGGTAATGCCACCACCAAACATGAAAACTGGAATAGTACTGAATCACTGCATCATATTTCTGTTACTAAAATCACTGGTGAAGAAAGCAATATTACACAGTTTTCAGAAGCTACTGAACAGTCAGTCCCAGAAACCACCACGGTAACAGAAGATCCCTTACTAATGCGGCCTGAAGAAACAGTTATTGAAGCCGGAGAATCCACTAGTACGACAGTGGAGCCCTCGTATGAACTAATAACAGAGACATACACTCCAGAGACTGAAGCAGTAACTCCCCAAAATATCAGAGAAGATATCTCCACCAGCATATTAAATCTCGAGGATGGTTCTCTCACTATAACTGAATTTTCACTTCAAGATAATCCAGAAATATCTACAGACCTGAGTTCAATGTTTCAAAATGATATTGTATTTGAAACAACAACAGCAGCTGAAGAATTAGCTGATATTTCAACAACAGAATTAAATGTAAATAAAGCAGCAACTGCCACACACACTAATTCTTCTGTATCCATCCCAGAAACATCAACATCTATTTCAGTATCAACTGATATATCAGCATTCAGTAATCATTCAGCATCAAGCGAAGCCTCAATGTCCAGTAATGTGTCGATGTCCAGTGATGTGTCTTTGTCTGTCAATCACAATACAACAGAAGCGGCAGCATTGTAAAGTCCAGCACATATGGACTAGAAGGGTATTAATGGCATGTTACGATTCATGTCTGTATTATTATAATTTTGTTTATTTATTCTTGATAAATATCACTATTAGGGTTATGTGAGAATTATGCCTGTTAATCATGATATTCCGTGCCAAAAATATTTGCCTACACTAGATTCTAGAAGCACATAACATTCCACATGGTAAAAATTTCCATCTCTGTGATACAATATTGATGTAGGTCAAGACTGCAAATGGGAGAATCATGTATCCCGTTTTTTTTTTTTTTTTTTTTTTTTTTTTTTTTAGAAAATACTTTTACTTACTCTAATGATGAAATCATGTCTTACTGTATGCTGGATGTGTAATACTCAGATTTTTCTCCAATTTCTGTTTCTGTTATTAGTTATATCCCATGTCCTATTCACTTCAAGCACTGTACTCTGAACTCCTAAAATAGTCAATAAGTTATAAGAAATTTGGAGTCTCAGAGGGTTATGTCTGTTATAGACAATTTGGTCAGGGAGGTTGTGTTTATAGCTTCATTGCTTCAGTCATATTAGTATGACAAATATAAGCCCATTTCTGTAAATCTGTAATAATGTAGCTGTTAATGTCTTCAAGGAATAATAGTGAGATAATTTCAGATTAGAAAAAGCCGACTTACAGCTAAAGTTGTACATTTTTAAGTATGCTGGCTCGTCAGAGCTGTTTGTGTTTTTTTCTAGGCAGCTAGAATTTTTCAGTATAATTTTTGGACTCAGACTTCCTTATGACTTTCATTCTGACTCGAAAAGAGTAATTAGTGCTTTGATATAACTAGACACTACATAACAGAAGCAAACAAGATATGTTGGTGGCAGTAAATATAGCAGGGATGTAGATTATCCAGATGTTGTGAATTCAGTTGTTTTTACATTTTCATTTAAATGATAGTGCCAGATTTATATGAATGACTTATTTTATTGGACATTTGTTCTTATAGTACAGTACTGTATCTTCTAGCTTTAACTACTTCCATGTACAGCCTTACCAGTTGATCGTCTTATATTAGGGCTTAAGACTACTGTAGTTTACCTCTTATCTTTTCAATTTTTATATTTCATCTTATATTTTCAATTTTATTTTGGGTCTAGATGCAATACACAACACAATTGTACATTTTTGAGTGTTGGATATGATTTTCACTGTCTTGTTGCAGTTTAACAATGAAGCACAAGTCAAATGGTTCGTGTTTTCATACGTATTTATACACCAGTATCCACAACCAGATTAAGTTTCCTGTTTCTTATTTGCTAATTGCATATTTAACTTTTGCTTAGGCTCATTAAAGGCTGCCTAATGAGCACTCACCTCAAACATTTCATTCAGTTAAAAACAATATACATAGTACAGGATTTTATAAGATGCTATTATACTGTTTAATATATACAAACTGAAATTCCTACAAATATAAAGCATTACAGGTAGAAAATAAGCAGTATTTGTCATAACATTTTTCAGTACATATACTGTATTGTATGTTAAATATAACAATATGAAAGGCACTATATTCTCTTGATAATAACTTTCATGTGTGCAGGTAGAAAAAAGTGCTGTATAAATTTCAAGGAATTTAAAAGCAAAATTGGTTGAAAGTATAGATCGATGCATGCAAGGGAATAATTAGAAATATTACAGTAGTGATTAAAAATAAGCTGGAAATTATACCTTATAATTTAAGTAAACATAGATTAATCATGTTCTGACTGAAAATAACTTAGAGACATATTGTATGACAGATGTAGATTAATATAACTTATTATATAGGGTAGATCTCTAAGACATCCGTACATGTATGTGATTTTTCTTTGTATTTACCATTTCAATTTTTTGATTGTATGAATGCAAGCAAATGTCATATCCATGTTTGTCAACAATTAATTGGTTTTACATGCAAATTTGCAATACTTTATATAGTATATATATGATGCATAACATCTAACTTTAATGGTGAACAATCACATTGATATTAATTGCCATCAAAAGAGTTAAATGAGGATGAGTATAAGTCTGGTTGTGGACATGCCTGTCTTCCGGATGCTGTGGACTAATGGAGCTTCTTTCTTAACTTGTACATCTCATTTTTTGTAATCACAATGATGCCAACTTTCGTCTAGGAATATTGTCGACTATAACGTTCCTTATGTCATTAAATTATACAAGGACCTTCTTCATACATACTCATTTGTATGATACAGCTAGTTAGTAGAGGCTTACACTCAACAAAGCAGTGATAGATGAGTTTTCCATACAGCCATTTAAAACATCAAAATCATTACTGATATGGCTGTGGTTGATATTTTTATTCCTATTTTTTCCTTCTAGATCTGAAGAGACTAGTGATTTTGATCTATAAATGACAATAGTATGATAAATTTTGTGCTTATTGATGTTAAATGATCTGTGGGTTTAGCACTCTGTGAAAATAATAATTAGTGTGCATCATAAAAAATCCAAATCACTATTCTTGTCACAGTGATGTGATAGTCTGTATGATTACAAGTAAGTCTGAATTTTTCAATGAGATTCAAGTTCACAGTTTTGTAAATAAGAGATGAATCTTATTGAGACTTTTAGCTAAAGTTAAAATATCCATGTCTTGGCACAAATGACTTTTTCCTGCCTTTTTTTTTTTTACATTTGTGATGATATTTATTGTAGCATATACTGTATGATTTCTGCATTGTCTTCATCCCTGATTCCTTTATCCTGCCTCTCAGTAAACACTGAACACTTTGTTATGCCATTGTATTTTTTTCCAAGAGAAAAATTTCAAACTTGTGTTTTGAATATCATTGATTTACAGTGTTTCTAGTATAGATACAAAATAAATATTTTATTATTACTCTTGTATGCGTTAAAGTGCCTGAATTTATAAAGAAAATCTAAAATTAGCAAAGTATTCATAAATATATTACTGAGTGTGGCAATACGTACAAATAAATTGCTGTACCTGTAGTTAGTTAGGAGCTTATTCGTTCAGGTACTATAACAAAATACATACAGTAAATGTAAAATTTTATCCCTTTCACTGTCTCCCATGTAGATCTACAGTACATTATTGATGTATCACTCATGTAGATCTACAGTACATAATGATGCAGGTGTCACTCGTGTAGATCTACAATACATCATTGATGCAATTGTCATTCATGTACATATATCACTGATGCAAGTGTCATTCATGTAGATCTACAGTACATCATTGATGCCAGTGTCACTCATGTAGATCTACATTTTAAAAAAGCATAAGGTTTGGTTATTTATGAATTGATGAAGGTGGGTATTTGCCTGATCAGGTGTTTAAAAAGAGTTGTCAAATTTTTAAAATAGCCAGCTTGTGTCTTACAATTGTGGCAGATAGTAATGTAGCAACATGTTTAAAGCTGAAGCTTTTTGCCTCACAACTACCTACAACTGTAGCAAACTAAGATGTTACAGCTGTTGTAGGTGGTAATGAAGCAGCAGATTTTTGCCTTAAGTACCCATGATGGCAGTTCCTTTATGTGGACTAGCAGTTTGCAGGTTTCAGGTCATTATCCACTTTCCAGATGCTAGATCCCTAAAAATTTTTAGTAGGGATGGCAGTGGATGAATGGGATAGTACTTATCCTGCTGATAGTTTGCAACAGGGTAATGTATTAGACCAGGCTCAAGCAAGCACTATTAATTCTTTTGGTCCTGGGCTGCTTCCTGTCTCCCTAATGTTACCTGTGCATATGGCTCCATGTGGCTTTTCCTGATGGACTCAGTACTGGGTCTGGACACTGGAGTTACTAGGTGGTATAAATAAAAAGCCCAAGTTTAACTCAAACCTAAAACTGTACAGTGGAACCTCAAAAATCGAACTGCTCCCAACACAACCAATTATGTAAGTGTATTTTTGTAAGTGCTTTTATAAGTGTATTTTTGAGGGTCTGAAATGGACTAACCTAATTTACATTATTCCTCATGGGAATAAATTCATTCGGTAAAGGCATTCAAACAGCCTTCTGGACCAAAGAAAGTTCGATATTTGAGGCTCCACTCTATTTACTTTGGGTTTAAGTAAATGAGGATCCTTGTCCTGAATAAAAGGACCAATCATGGCAACTTACAGGTAAACAAGGCAACTGTTACTACTAAGCAGTACACTGTAAAAACACAACTATTAAAACCTTAGCTAACAGTTCTTGGAAATAGAAAATATACTACATCCTAGCAAGTCACATGCACTCTTAGCTGGTCACAGTCTAACAATAACAAAACTCCTCTGAGAAGGCTACAGCACTGTATAACCCTCATGGGTTTAGCACTTAGTTATGGTTATAATAATTTGAGAAGGCTATAAAATAAAAGTCTGAGTGCACCCAGCACAAGAATACCATTTTAAACACCACCAACCTTGCTCATGCTCATCCAATAGGTTTCGATTTAATAAAATTTTAATAATAATTTTTATTTTAGCATGATGCATGTTTGTACAAAGGAGTATAACAATTCATACTATGTGTCAAAAGCCCCTTTATATGTAGAACATTTTGGGCAAACTTGAGATTAACTTAAGATTAATAAGACAATATCAGTGTAATAACAGTACATAGGGTCATTGGGCGAGTTACAATGATTACAAGAAAATTTAATATTCTATCAGTTCATGCTATATGGCTTTAGTAAGTTTGGTAGAGAAGAAGTATAATTTTGATTATTAACTTAAGATGAACACAATGGAATGATTAACATTACATTTGAGAGGATTACAGATATTGTTTTACCTAGGTTCATGATACTGAGCAAATGCACATATAGATAGGTTAAGGAGATAAGGTGTTTTCTAACTGAAGTTCTAAAAAAAAAAAAAAAAAAAAATGCTGCTGTATAGCCCTTGTGGCTTAGCGCTTCTTTTTGATTATAATAATAATCTAAAAAGTGCTAGCTGAGCCAGTGGTTCTGGAGATTTCTGGCAGAGAGTTCCAGACTTTGGGCTCTTTTATGTATATTGAGTTTTTGAAAGATTTAGCCTGACAAGGGGAATGTCATAGAGATTTGTGTGTCTGGTATTGTGTCTATGAGTCCTATTGCAACTGTCAAGAAAGCACTTCAGGTCAGGATTTATATTAGAATTGATTGTTCTGTAAATGTAGTTTGCACAGTAGTACGAGTGGATGTTTTGTATGGAGAGTAGATTCAGGTCTTTGAAAAGTGGGGGGATGGGGATGTTGTCTAGCTGTGGAATGTGAGATCATTTGTATTGCAGCTTTTTGTTGGGCTATTACTGACTTTAGGTGATTTGCATAGGTGAGGTAGGGGTAGATCAGTGAATAGTGTAAGTAGTGCTGTTTGTGGTACATAGTAATGTATCTTTGAAGGGATGCGTTACTGCTGGATTACAATTTTGTAAGTGCTTGAATAAGAAAAGTCTTCATGAATCATAATGACCAGTTTGGTAGATTATATAATATACAGTACAATTATCTCCTGACCATAGGTCTTGCAAAGCTTTCTTGTGTCCTTGATGGTCACTGGTAATTAGAATAAAAGAAAAAAAAAAACATGGGGCTGGGGGCACTAAAATTTAAAAAAATGGAGAGTTCCCTTTTACAAGCATACTGAACTACAATATCGACAATTCAGAAATATCTTACATATTAATGCTAACAATAAAGAGTTTAAATATCTTAATAAAAAAAAATATCCAGTACACATGCACTGGCATCATACAAGTTTAGAGACAGAAAAAAAAAAAACACATGACCAAGAGCATGCTTTCCCTATTTTGTTCACTTTAACTCTTAGAAAATACACCATCTCACTGCAGACTGCTAGCAGGCTAAGTGGCACACTACCTACCCAACACCATCCAATTGCACCCTTCACTTGATTATAATTATAATCATGGGGAGCACTAAACTTGTAGGATTATACAGCGCATGTGGGGGGGTGGAAGGTATTCGGGCTCAATTCAGGGAACCAGAGCACAGATCCAATTCCCTAGATCAAGAGCCCCTCACCAGCATCAAGGAACTTCCCTTGAGGGGTCCCCTTCACTTGTGCTTTCAAACTCATACTCACTCATATGTGATCTCTCAACTAGCTCATTTTCCAGTGCCTTAGAATACAAATGCCACAGATCATTCTTATATTTATGGAAAATGCTAAACCCATAAGGATATTCAGTGTTGAAATGTTGAAAGAGATGGTGAGGAGAGAGAGAGGTAAAGTTGTTGAGGGAAGAACATTAGCAGAAAGGATTTGAGTCACAGATGATGTAGAAAACTAGTGACAGAAATCATAGAAGCCTGCAGGAACGGTAGGACAAGCAGAGAAAGTGTGCAGGAAAGGTAGGACCAGTAGAGAAAGTGCAAGTAAGTAAGTAAGTAAGTTTATTCAGGTATACACAAATACAGTTACATAGAATTATCATACATAGCAGCATATGTGTAGAGAACCTAGGATAACCCAAAAAAGTCAGACAGAGTGACTTATTTCCATTGGGGTCCTTTTACCTTATTATTATAATATAAAGGTTATAATATTTTCTTATTATTCTACAATGAAGATAACATCTTATTATCATACTAAAAAGACTATCTACTACACGAGGGTCATTAACACTATCTACTACACGAGGGTCATTAAGACTATCTACAATACGAGGGTCATTACTAGGAATAAGGTAAAATTTTTACACGTATGTTAGATAAAAAAATAAAAAAATCAATCCCCTCCCTTTCTGTAGCTACATTCATCAGACACCTTTTTGGCACTCTTTTTGAACTGGTTCATGCTATGACTGGCTTGACATGTGGGGGCAGTCTGTTCCATTCCTTTATTGCTGTACAATAAAAGGGTTTTTTGAAGCCTGGCCACTGACTGTGGTTACTACAAAGTTGTGCTCTCTCCCCCTAGTACTATGATTGCTTTGGTTCCCAACCTTGACAAAAATTGACAGCAAGATATTCTGGACACTGTTTGTGAGCAATTTTATAAACATGATTTAGCTTCAGTTGTTTTACTCTGTCTTAAAACATTCAGCATATCCAACTGCTGTAATTCATCCTGGCCTACATGTTCTCTGGTCCCAGCCCCAGGATGAATCTACGATTTTGTTCTGGGTGATTTGCAGTCTATCTTTCAGTTTTTTTGTCAAGGCAGAGTACCAAGAAGAGCAAGCGTAATCCATATGGCATTGTATAAGGGCTAGACATAGAGTCCTGCGAGCCTCAGTAGGTAGACACTGTGCTTGTCTATACAGGAACTTCAGTCTGGCATTCGCTTTCTTTACTACACTGTTCCCCTATCAATTCTCCTGACATGCATGGGTCAAAGGGGATTCCCAAATATTTTACTGATAAAACCCAAAGTGATGGGCTCCCCATTACATTAAACCCATTAAAGTTATTTACCCTTCTCAGTTTATGTTTCGTGCCAAAGAGAATGGCTTCAGTTTTCCCTAGGTGTAATGATAGTTTGTTTTCTACTAACCATTTGCTGCAGGACTCCAGTTCCAGTGTTAAAACATTAGCAATATCTTGTGGTCTTTACCTGACACTAACAGAAACACCTGTCATCCCGCATACATAGGGAGTTTGCACTTTCATATCATTGACATAACATAAGAATTTAAAAAGGGACCCAGAATACTACCTTGGGGAACTCCTGTTATCGGCAGGGGTTCTGATTCTGTTTGTTTATTTTGAAATATTTGGTCTCCTGTTGCTAAGGTAGGACTTAAACCAGTCTACAGAACCTATACCGATAGCTTGAAGTTTATTACATAATAATATTGTGGGTTTACAGTATCGAAGGCCTTTTGCAGGTCTAAGGTTACCATACCTATGAGTTCCCCTTTGACATTTTAGTTCT